GGTGAAAGGTGCACATCCTGTTTCAGTCTTCTACGTATGGCTATCCAGTTTTCCCCGCATCATTTATTGAATAAGGATTCTTTTCCCCAGTGTATATTTTTGTCTGCTTTGTCAAATATTAGATGGCTATATGAGGATGGTTTTATATCTGGGTTCTCAGTTCTGTTTCATTGGTCTATGTGTCAGTTCTAGTGCCAGTACCATGACATTTTAGTTACTATAGCGTTGTAGTATAACTTGAAGACTGGTAAATTGATGCCTCCCAATTTGTTCTTTTTGCTTAAGATTGCTTTTGCTATATGGGGGTTCTTCTCTGGTTCCAAGTAAGACATAGAATTATTTTTTCTAGATCTGCAAAAAATGATGTTGGTATTTTAATAGGAATTGCATTGGATCTGTAGTTCACTTTGGGTGATATAGACATTTTAACAATGTTGATTCTGCTGACCTATGAGCATGGCGTGGTTTTCCACCTAATTACATCCTCTCCTGTTTCCTTCCTCAGTGTTTCATAGTTCTCTCTGTAGAGGTCTTTCACCTCCTTAGTTACATATATTGCTTGGTATTTTATTTTCTTTTTTGCTCTTGTGAAGGGTATTGAGTCTCTGATTTGGTTCTCAGTTTGACTGTTGTTGACATATAGGAATGTTACTGATTTCTGTACATTGATTTTGTGACCTGAGACTTTGCTGAATGTGTTTATTATTCCAGTAGTCTCATGGCAGAATCTTTGGTGTTTTCCAGATATAAGATCATATCGTCAGCAAAGAGTTATAGTTTGACCTCTTCTGCCTCCATTTGGATGCCCTTGATTTCTTTGTCTTGTCTGATTGCTCTGGCTAAGACTTCTAGAACTATGTTGAATAGAAGTGGTGATAGAGGGCAAACTTGTCTGGTTCCAATTCTAAGTGGTAATGCTTTCAAATTTTCTTTTCAGTTTGATGTTGGCTGTAGGTTTGTCATATATGGCTTTTATCATTTTTATGTAAGACCTGTCTATGCATATTTTGTTAAAATTCATATCATATGCTGAATTTTGTTGGACGCTTTATCTGCAGGCATTGAGAGGATCATTTGGTCTTTCTTTTCACTTCTATTTATGTGGTGAATTACATTTATGGATTTGCATATGTTGAACTATCCCTGCATCTCTGGCATGAAGCCCACTTGGTCGTGATGGATTATTTTTTTGATAAGCAACTAAATTTTGTTTGTTAGGGTTTTTCTGAGAATTTTTGCATGTATATTCATAAGGAATATTGATCTGTAGTTTTCTTTTTTTGTTGAGTTCTTTCCAAGTTTTGGTATCAGGGTGATGTTGGCTTCATAAAACGTGTTGGGGAGGATTCCTTCTTTCTCAGTGTTGTGGAATAATTTCTGCTGGATAGGCACCAATTCTTCTTTATAGATCTGGTAAAATTCAGGTGTGAAACCATCTGGTCCAGGACTTTTCTTTTTAGGAAGATTTTTATTACTGCTTCAATTTTGGTACTTCATATTGGTCTGTTTGGGAATTCTATTTCTTCCTGATTGAGCCTAGGAAGGCTATGTGTCTCTAAGAATTTGTCCATTTCTTCCACATTTTCAAGTTTATGTGCATAAAGCTTTTTACAGTATTTATAGATGATATTTTGTATTTCTGTGGTATCAGTTGTAATTTTTCCTTTTTCATTCCTGATGGAGCTTATTAGAGTCCTTTCTTTTCTGCTTCTTATTAATCTAGAAAGAGGAGTGTCACTTTTTTTATTTTTTCATAGAACTAACTTTTTCTTTTATTAATCTTCTATACAGTTTTTTTGTTATCAATTTCATTTAGTGCTGCTCGGATCTTGGTTATTTCTTTTCTTCTGCTGGGTTTGGGGTCAGTTTGCTCATCTTTTTCCAGTTTTTTGAGATAGTTCGTTGGATTGTTGATTTGTGATCTTTCTGTCTTTTGGATGTAGGCATTTATGGATATAAATTTTCCTCTCAGGACTACTTTAGCTGTGCCCTACAGATTTTTATAACTTTTGTCTCCTTTATCATTTAGTTCAAAGAATATTTTGATTTCCCTCTTAATGTCCTCCTTAACACAGTAATCATTCAGCAGAAGGTTGTTTAGTTTCCATGACTTTGTGTAGAGATGAGAGTTTCTGTTGGAGTTGATTTCTAATTTTATTCCACTGTGGTCTGAGAACATTCATGGCATAATTTCTATTTTTAAAAATTTTTTAAGACATGCTTTGTGGCCTAGGATATGGTCAATCTTAGGGAATGTCCCATGAGCTGATGAGAAAAATGTATATTCAGTGGTTTTTGGATAGAATGTTCTGTAAATATCAGTTTGGCTCATTTGTTCTAGAGTTCTATTTAAGACCATTATTTCTTTGTTTATTTTCTGTTTGGAGGATCTGTTCTGTCAGAGGTGTTTTGAAGACCCTGGCTATTACCGTGTTGCTGTTTATCATTTCATTTAGATCAAGTAGTATTTGCTTTATGAATCTGGGTGTACCTGAGTTAGGTGCATAAATATTTAGAATTGTTATTTCTTCTTGTTGAATTATATCCTTCACCATTATCTATTGACCTCTTTGTCTTTCATTACTTTTGTTGATTTGAAGACTAAGTTATGTGAAATCAGAACTGCTATGCCAGCTTTCTTTTGGTTTTCATTTCCATGAAATATTGTTTTCCATCCCTTCGCCTTGAGTCTGAATGCATCCTTGTGGGTCAGATGTGTTTCCTGAAGACAGCAGATACTTTAGCTTATGTATATGGATCCATTCAGCCAGCCTATGTCTCTTTATTGGGCAGCTCAAGTCATTCACATTTATTGATAAAATTGATAAGTGGAGCAGATTTCTGTTCCTCCTGTTGAGTTAAATTTACTTGCTTTGCTTTCTCTCTTGGGTCATTTTGGTATCTGGCCTTTTACCTTTAGCTTTTGGATTGTTTTACACTGGTGAGTGT